AGGAAGGAAGGAAGGAAGGAATTCAGCATGTTTCTAAATAGATCAAATTTTAAAACAAAATTCTGGTAATTTTTTAAACAGATGAATAAAGTAGAAATTCTGGGAATCTACACACAACAATTCACAAGTGTGGCAGTTTCTGTCATGGCAGAAGGTGCTTTCTGGAAGCAAACCACCAAGGAATTTTTTTCTGAACTTAGACTATGTAATATGGGTGTTTAACAAAATCATTGAATCACATTGCAGTTTTCTATACCAGCTGTAAAAATATGTATTCAAAACAGAGTTTTCTCAACTGTTTCTTTTGTACAAACCTTCATAAAGTCATGAAATAGGCTCCTGGGAACTTTGCAGCTTCAAGAATCAAGAATTCTTGCTCTAATTTTTGATTTTCAGATGTTTTTCCACTTAATCCTACATTCTTCATAATACCACACCAAAGCTTGAAACTTACATCCTTCCAACAGGAGAAAAGAGCAGAGTATTTGACACAATCTATTCAAAAAACAGCTGAGAAAAGTCATAGATAAGTGCTTTGGACCTTCCCAAGTAATAAAACCCACAGCAGTAATAAACTAAACTTCACAGACTCAATTGTGTCACAAACAGTAAAAACTAAGATAAATGAGACACACAGAAAGAATAAGGATACACAGAGCAAAGACAGAATTCCGCTCCTCAAGAATTTCCCAGTTGAGTTTGAGAAAAGTAAACAACCAAAATCCAATATTAAAGCTATATAATCACAGAGCTTATAACACAAGGAGAAGAGGCCCTTCACTACACCTGACAGAATCAGAAAGGAGTTCTCTTATATCTGGAAGTCTGTAGAAAGATGAGCAGCACTTAGCCAGCAAAGAGTATTCCCCGAGCAAAGAAAGTAATAAAAGGAGGATTACAACTGAGATAAACAAAAATGCACAAAATGAAGAATGATGTAAAAAAAATAATAATGATGATAAAAAAAAAAAAAGCTTGAAGAAACAATGATCCTAAATAACACAGCCAGTTTGGGAACTGGTGTGGCTGAACTGTCTGATGCAGAAGACACAAGAGTTCAGGAACTAGCTCAGGATGGAAATTTAGACTTGACCGCAAACTTGAAGGAAGACAGGGAGACTTTTGGAATCAAAAACTTGAAGCCAGAACAGAAAAGTTAAAGCTCCAAAGAGATTAAACTGAAAAAAATTCAAATTCCAGAATGTTATGAAATGAAAACTCTGGTGCCAAACCTAAGGATGAAAATTATAAAGTGACATCTTTCACTTGCTCCGTTGAAAAGACTCAATCTGTCCCATCATTGGAAAGACTTGATTGAACCTGAATATTAAAGATGAATAAGGTGTCAAAGCTGATTTCTGTGTTGCTAAGAGATGCTGTACGCAAGT